TTTCTTGCATTTTGGGCATCCTGCTCTTAAATAGGCATGAGGGTCATTACTAGAGGACTTTTTCCTCAGAGGAAGTCCTTTCAGTGCTCTCTCTACTCTGGGACTTAGCCCCTTATCATCCTTTTGCCCTGTTCTGCCATCTCCTTTGCGGGCTGTGCTTTCTCGACAGTGCCTCTCTCCTAGGACTCTTGGAGTATGGATGTAGTTCACCCAGCCTGCCTCCTTTACTGTCCTCACAAAGCCATGTCAGTTGAGGACAAGTGGAAAAGGCAAAATTCAACTCTCTCTCAAATCTCCTTCCTTCCTACTTCTGCAGTGGTAGAGTTGAGACATCTGTCCCTGCACAGAAGCACACAGTTAAGAGTTAGCTAACCACTTGCCTTTCTTTCTTCCTGACTCCTCACCTCCGAATCTGGGAGCCTTGAGAGATCATGCAGAGTGTAGCCCTCAATGGGCTCTAGAGATGACCTGGCTCACCCTCCTTTTTCTGGATGAGGAAAGTGATGCCCCAAGGTCATTGCTTGAGATCACATATTCCCAAGTGGCAACTACAGGACAAGATCCCAGATCCCTCCCATCCCAATTGGGTAGCCTTTTCATTATATCCTTAGGCTTACTTGAGTGACTTTCTTGACCCCAGAAACTTCAAGGATGCTCTACAGGTTTTCTGTATAGCTTTGTCCAAGGGCCGTCTCTTTCACAACACTTTTATAGAGGGACCCAACCAGAAGAGAATTCTTCATCCTCCAATCTCCCTTAGCCACCTTTTACACCATGCAAAGCATTTGTAGTCTGTAGTCCTAGCACTTATTTGGGTTAATTATATACATGTTTTACCCTCCTGACTGGACTGCAAGAGCTGCTTGAAGTCAGGAATTGTACCTTTGTCATTTTTGTTTGTCCTATGATGGGGGCATGGCACTTGGCAATGGTGGATGCTCAATAAACCCTATGTGGCACGAACGAACAAGAGAATGAGTGAATAAGCCATGAGCCCACTGGAATAGCACCTTTGTTCCCTCCTGGAGTAGGGTGCTGTAAATCAAAGTGTGATGAATCTCTGGGGACTGGGAGCTTTGTGAGTTATGGGGAAGTCTCCCTGTCTCTCCGGCTGAGTGGGCAGTGATAACATTAAAACTGCAGCCTTGGAGTAGGAGCAGTGATTTAGGAAGTACATTCATATGGGCTCTTCATAAATAAATCAATTAAATTGCTGCCACGAGCTAGTCAGGCAGGTCTGCCCCTCAGCTGAGCAGGTATGCGGTGCTCCTCTGGCTAGGATCTTGATTGCTGCTGAAAATTGCTCCAGTGTCTGGGTTTCCGCACAGCGTGGGGCTTCTGGTCATCAGCATTTGCCTCTTTGAGGACTTTCCTCACCAACGAAGAGAGGGCAGAATAGTTCATTGTTTAGTCACTGTGGTTACATCAACCTGGGGCAGCTGCCCCAACTTCAGGCTTTCCCTACATGTGGCTGATTTTTTATTTTGGTATGGATTTCTTTACTTGGTAAGTTTCCTTATGGGGGATTCAGTAGCTATGGAGCTCAAAAGTCATGTTTCAATAAAGAACTGTGGGAAGCTCAGCTGATAAGAAAAACGCTCTGAATTCTGGTCCATTTCAAAAAAATAAGTGGATTTTGGAAATGATGAAGTGACTCCATGCATCGTCCTCTCCATTAAAATCGTTTTGCTTTATCTTAGTCCCAAAGGCCAGGGTCTCTGGAGTCAGAAGGTAGCAATTAATTTAGTTGAAATGCTAATTTATATTTCTGAGCTAATAGGAGGTGATGAGTGGAAATTCTCCAACTTCCCTCTTTTCCTCACAGTTTATTTCCTAACAACAAATATCTACTGAGTACCGAACACATGTCAAAAACATGACAGGCTTTGGAGATATAAATATGAAGTACTCTTTGCTTTCAAGGATTTTGTATTTTGATAGGGGTTGCAGATATATGCACTGATGAGAGTATAAAGGAGCAGCCCAGTGATGGAAACTGGATAAAGAGCTCTGGGAATAGGAATGAGACAGAAGTGTATTGGCTTAGGGAAGGGTCACTAAACTAGGACTTAAGGGATGAGTGGGGTTTCACTGGAGGAAGGGAGGGTACTCCAGAGGGTGGGAGTAACATAGAGAAAGGACTTGGAGCATTTTAAGGCATTTAAAGGACTGATCATTCAGGCATCTATTCACCCACAGGTAATTACTGACCAATCCATGTGGTGGGCTCTGTGTCATGCAGGTACTCGTGGAACTGCCTCAGGCAGGGTCTCCGTCTGCCAGGAGCTCAAGGTTTGCATGGAGGGTGGGATTCCTGCAGAGAGAGTCGGGTGCGAGGCTGGGAGGTTGGGCTGGGAGACTGTGTCAGAGGCTCTGGCGCTGGACTGAGGAGTTTGGACTATGGCCAGCAGTGCTCGTGGGGATGGCGTCTAAACCTTCAGTCTATGACTGAAGGACATTGAGGGTATTTCCTTTTTTTTTTTTGCTTTCACAAACATCATTGCAGTGAAAAACTTTGTAGTACATACATCATTTCAAGCATGTGAGAGCATGCACATAGGATGAGTGCCTAAAATGGAATCACTGGATCAAAGGGTGTGTGCATTTGGTAAATTTTGTCAAATTCCCTTCATTAGAGGTTTTTCAGCGTTCACTCCCCGCAGCAGTAAATGAGATGCGCTTCCCGGCCTACTCTGCCCCCACCACGCACACACGCACACACACACGCGCGGGTGTGCGCACACGCATGAGCTGTAACAAGGACAGTCTTTCATTCTACTCCCCCAAAATTGTCACTCTTGTGGGGGCACAGATGGCCAAGCTCCAGCACTCTCTAAAGGTACATGGGCATGAGTTTGAGATGGATGAAATTCTATCCTGGACAAATCCAAGACTACCTTCTATGTTTTACCTCAGTTCAGATTTCTGTCCCGTGGGTACGCAGAGTGAAGAATTATGGGAAAAAGTGGTTGGCCCCCAGGTTGTTAGATTCAAAGATTAGGAGTGTCCTCATATATAACTACTAAATGGGACTCATAATAACATGGTAGATGGGTCACTGATGTAGGCTTAAACTCTCCCTGAATTTTTTTTTTTTTTTTTCATATTTTCAGCTTCTGCCACTTTCTGGGGAAATGACTGCTCTAAGTCTCATTTGTCTTAAACTTTTAACCTTGGAGTGTGCAGGCCTGTTTAATAGTCTACTACATCAATAATAGTTGATAAATATAGTCCTTTACATGGGATGATAAAAAGCTGGTAACATATGATTACTTGGACATGTGACAAGACTTCAAACTTAAATCTGTGTCTTTCAGCATCCCTACCCCCCATAAGTGGAAGATGAAGGAAGAAGTTGTGGTTTCCAGGCACAAATCCCATGTATGTGAAATAGATAACTGAAGTTGGCCCAACTATCTCAGCTGTCATCTCCATCCTCTCTCTGACTACCTGGGGATAAGGAGTGACAAGAGAATGCCTACGTTTAGAATGAAGGTGCTTGACAAAGGCTTACCAGGAGCGATCTTGCAGCTTTTAGCAGGAATATCAAGAGCAAATTGCACAGGTAAGAGGCAGAAAACTGAGTTTAGAGTAGTTTGTAGTTTCTGTATTAAACAGATACTCATTATAGGATTTTAAAAGTCAGGCGAGCAAGCAACTTGCATTTATTCAGGACCTGTTTGCTGAGGCACTGTATTAAACAGTACGAAAGGTAATGAATAAGTAAGTAAATAAATAAATACCGCTTGTTTCGGCAGCACATATACTAAAATTGGAATGATAGAAGATTAGCATGGCCCCTGCACAAGGATGACACACAAATTTGTGAAGCATTCCATCTTTAAAAACAAACAAATAAATATGTAGTTAGGGTCCCAGCTCTTTAAGAAATCAGGAAGGAGTTGGGAAGACAAACCTACATGACCAATTTAATGGCTATATGAGAGTTAACAGTATGAGGTTGCAAATACATGAAACAATTTGGTGCCAAGCTGTTGGGTCTGAGGAACTTAAATAGCTCTGAGCTAAGAGGATTAGAGTCCCCAACTTGAAAGCTCACCACAGCTCTAGGAAAGTTCTTTGGAAAGCTAGGGTGTATCTTGCTCCCTCTTTCCTACCCATCAGGCTTCCATACATCTGTGTTCTTGTTGAACCTCTCCCATATGCTTTGCATGCACACTTTGCTTTGGTTCTTTCTCCTGAGGGACCTTCAAGATACTTCCCTCCTTTTCTCTACACCTTGGGAATCCACTCAGGGCAGCACCATCTTCCATTCTTTCTAGAGCTCTGTGGCTTATGGCTTTCCCTCATTCATCACAGCAACCTGATCCTGTGCCCCATATTCCCCTTACTAGAGGATAGGGATGCCTTCAGGTCCCCCCAAAATTAAACATAGCGTTACCTTATGGCTCAGCAATCCCACTCTTAGGAATATACCCCAAAGAGTTGAAAACAGGGGTTCAAACAGATACTTGTACATAAATGTTTATATGGCACCATTAACAATGGTTAAAAGGTAGAACAACCCAAATGTTTATCAGTGAATGATGCATGGTTAAACAAATTTGGTATAGCCATACAATGAAATGTTATTCAGCCATAAAAAGGAGTGAAGTACTGATAGATGCTACAACATGGATGAACCTTGAAAACAATATGCTAAGGGAAAGAAACCAGATCCAGAAGGTCACATATTGTATGATTCCATTTATATGAAATGTCCAGTGTAGGTAAATCTGTGGAGACAGCAACTAGATTGGTGGATATCAAGGACTGGAGGAGTGGTAAATGGAGAGTATCTGCTTAATGTGCATGGAGTTTTATTTTGAAGTGATACAAATATTTTGGAACTAGATAAAGGTTGTAGTTGCAGAACATTGTGAATGTACTAAGTGCTACTGAATTTTATGTTACATGCAGTCAATTTTATGTTACATGCATTTTTCTTCAATTAAAAAAAAACCAAAACAAAACAGGTAACTCCTTCAGGGAACATGAAGTTGGGAACCAGCAGTTTAAACACTCTTCTTCCTGATATAATTGATTTGGGGGTAGGGGGATGTGGGTCATTGAAGAAATAAAACCTTAGTGCAGAGGGGTGATTTTTAGAGTGTAGTTTAGGCAATGATCCATCAGATTGATACAGAGATTTATAGTTCAGAAAGTGCTTTTGGTCCAACATCTTATATACTCCTTATAACCTTTCCCCCATTTTTCCTCCTCATTTGTCAAGAAAGGTCATGGTTCACACTTCCTGTCACCTGGAATAGTGTTACTGCACCCCTGTGTTTGAATCCAATCCATTCATGAAGGACCAGATCAAATGTCATCCCTTGAAGCCTCACCCGGAAATACAAGCACATTCTGGTTGCTCCGACCGCTTCAGGGTTTAAGACAAGCTCTGTTTATGAGCCAAGGTACCTAATGCCAACTTGGGCAGAGATGACATCTATTTCGATGTCTAGACACTGTATGTGAACAACGTAATGGTTGAACAATATTGGCATTAGGAATAATTTGAAGGTGTGATGGACGATGTGGCGGAGCAGATCATATGGTTAGTCAGAAACGGGTAGGTCAAGGGGAGCTTGTTAAGCGGTTGGTTAGTAGAGCCTCTTAGGCTAGGGACTCCCTAGTATAACTGTCATATCTGATGCCTTCCATGGCACTTGACACATAGTAGGCCATTTAAAAATGTTGACTTAGTTCTTTTGTTCATTCATTTATTAATTTCCTATTGGGGAGAGGATGGTCCTCAGAATATAACCTGCCTGAAGATAAGAACCCCGTCTCTCTCATTCCCCAGTGCCTTGCGGAGTGCCTGGTATAATTGGTTCTCCATAAACACTTGTGGAATGAGTGACTGAACTGAATGGAGAGAATGTGAGATGGAATCTGGCAGTTCTCTGCTTCAATCCCAACTCTGGCTCTCACTGGCTGTGTTGTCCTATAAATAAGGGAGAAGGATAAACCCAACTCTGCAGCTTAGTACTGGATACATTTAATAAATGGTCGGTGTTATTTATCCATCAAATAATCATCAAACCTGAACAACAAAAGCAGCTCTCTTTGGCAACTTAAAGTCATCCATTCTTGTGCTTTGGTCATGTGAACCTGGCTGAGTATTCATTTATTCATTCATTCCACAACTATTGACTGAGCTCTTACTATGTGTTGGGTTCTGTTCTAGGAACAATGGGGAAGCCACCGGAAGGCTGTAAAACAGGAGGAACATGCTCAGACAAATGTGTTACAAGGATTCCTCCTTTTTGTGTGTGAAGAATGACTTAAAGGTGGGCAAGATGCAATAAGGAAGCACAGAGAATGTGTATTGTACTTGTCTTTATGGAGAGGAAGATGTCTTAGTCTAGAGGGGAGGCCGTGGGGGTGGTGAGGAGATCTGGACTGTATTTTGGAGGCTGAGCAAAAAAGACTTGATGATGGGTTAGATATTGGGTGGGGTAGTGAAGAAAAGGGGGAGTTAGGTTTATGCCTCAAGTAACTGGCTGAGTGGAGCTGCTGTTTCCTGAGACAGTAGACACTTCTGAAGAGATTTGGAAAGGAATTCTGACAATCTCGATTTAGCTAGGATACTTTGCAGGTGCCTATTGGATATTGACGTGGGGCGCAGTAGAGAGATTGGAGCTGTATCTATTGAAAAGGTGGCATAGAAGGTACTTAAAGCCACGGGAACAGATGAGATCCTTTAATTAATTAATTAATTAGTTTATTTTTTGTTATGTTAGTCACCATACAGTACATCATTAGTTTTTTTTTTTTTTTTAAAGATTTTATTTATTTATTCATGAGAGACAGAGAGAGAGAAGCAGAGGGAGAAGCAGGCTCCCAAGGAGCAGGGAGCCCGATGCGGGACTCGATCCCAGGACCCCGGGATCATGACCTGAGCCGAAGGCAGACGCTCAACCATCTGAGCCACCCAGGCGCCCCCATCATTAGTTTTTGATGTAGTGTTCCATGATTCATTGTTTGCTTATAACACCCAGTGCTTCGTGCAAGATGAGATCCTTTTAAAAGGGACAGAAGAGAAGCCTTGGGAATGAGCTGTGAGAGGCTCCTTCGTTTAGAGCTTGAGTACAGAAGTGGCCCAGCATGTGGGCTCACAGAATTTAAGGGACAAGTTTCTGGGAAGAGGAATGTCCGTCCATATCAACAGCTGTTGAGAGGACTGAGCGAGATGAAGACAGAGAAGGGACATTGAAACTGGCATCTTGGAGCTCATCTGTGATTTGGCAAAGACAGTTGCAACCAAGGGGAGGGATGAAAATACCAAGGTAATAGGTGGCTGGGCTAACGGGAGGAGAGGGAATGGAGACCCTGGAGACTGCTCTCTCAAGACATTTTCTGTGAAGTGTGGCAGTGTCATGGGCTGATAGGTCGAGGCGGATGTGAGGTACAGGACACTTTGCTTCCTTGAAGGGGGAACCCTAGAGCATGTTTGTGGGTTGATAGGAGGAATCAAGAAGAGGGAGAGGTTGATGACCCATGAGGGAGAGGAGGCTGCCGCAAAGCGCCTGAGAAGGTGAGAGTGAGGGCTCCAGCCCACAGGTGTCCTATCATATTTTGAGAGGCTCTTCTGGAAGGATGGAGAACATGAGTGACATCCGTTTTGAGAGATGCTGGACATGAGAGTAAAAATGACTGAGGGAAGTGAAATCTCTGGACCATAGAATTTCGGGCAGACCACCACACACATGGTATGGAGGTGCACTGACCAGGTGCATAAGCATTTTCTTGAAACAAAAATGTGATCCTGCAGGTGGAGGTCAAAATGTCGAACTATCACAGGAGTTCTGATGCCTCTAGGCCTGAGGCAAAGGGAAGGGAGATAGAAACTTCTAGAGAAGGGCAGAGTGGAAAGGAGGAGGAGGTCAAAGAGTGTGGGGGCCGGGAACGATAGCAGAAAGGAAGAAAGAGGAGGCAGGGAGGAAGAGGGGAGAACTTGTGTCAGAGGCAGCCCAGCCACACCTGTGGCTTTGCCCTTTAACTAACAGCCAAGGGCACCGCGAGTCATAGGAAACCGCTATAACCAGCACAGGTGTGACAACACAGCCCGGCTCCGCTCTTGGCCCGTGAGAAAGGAAGTGCTGGGACAGGGGCCTGGCTATAATTAGCACCCATGGGCAGCCTAGAAAGCTGCCTGCTCTGAGGTCGGAGAGTTCAGAGCCGGCATGTGAAAACAGGGGCGTGCAAACAGCCAGTGGAAACTCCTGCGGGAGGTTGGCCTCTGAAGTCCCTGTTGGTGCCTCCTGGGCTGGGAGTGCAGCCCTGCAAGCTGGCCACACCGAGCACGGACCCTGGAGCCAGCAAGGCTAGTGTCCAGATGAGGGCGGCCAGAATTCCTCGGGCTATCCCTTATCTGTCTGGGCAAATGTCCTTCCTTTGTGGCTGGCTTTCTCTGGCTTGTGGGGCAGCCCCAGCTGGTGGGAGTCGCACTGCCTTGGCAGACAGGGGAGGCCGGCCTTGGCAGATATAGAGGGCGATGCTTTCCTAAGGCCTCGTCTCCGTGGAGAGTATTTCTTTCTAAGGCTTTGGCACATCCATGCTTTTCTCCCCCATGCTGGCCCATCTCTGACTTTATTGCTCATTTCCCACATGGGAACGTCTTTTTTTTTTTTTTTTTAAATCTTTGCAGTGAAATAGAGAGGAAACCTCAAAGAGCTCTTCTCTTCTCTTCTCTCTCTCTCTCTGCGTGTTATTTTGGAATCAGTTTGGAATTTAGGAGGGAAAAGGTAGAGCACATGTTCTTTTTCTTTACACTCCTCAACAGTGAACACAGGTGTCCCCTTGCTGCTACTCCTCTATTATAGACTCATTAAATCTCAGCTTTGGATGGCATCTATTCCCACCCAACCTCAGGAAGCAGGACTCCCAGCCCTAATGAGTGGTATTCAAAGCAGAGCCCCATTCCTCCTCCTAGGGCAGCTGCCTCTTCCTCTATCCACCTGTTCAATTCTAAGAAAATTCTTCCTTATATGGATCCCACTTTAATTTCCTTGTAACTTTCCATCTCCAATTTTGGTTTTCTCTCTGGACATCCCAGAATTAGCTAGCTCTCGTCTTCCAAATAAGAGCCCTTCCTTTTTGCTTTGTGAAATAGATCCTTCTTTTCAGCCTGCTTTCTCTTTTTCAGGCTAATCATTCCCAGTTACTTTGACCACTCATTAATTCACCAGATTATCTGTTTCTTGCCAGTTCAGTGCCTTCTACTGTACTAGGTACTGGGGGATGTAGCCATTAATAAAATGAAACTGGAGGAACTCACATTTTATTTAAAAAGAACACTTAGTGGGCAAAGTAGAAACATGTCATAAAATTAGAAGATGAGGTGATAAGAACCATAATAGAGATGAAAGATGTCTATCGCCTATTGAGGGCTTACCACATCATGTTACTAAGTATGCTGTGCACATGATCTCACATAGAACTCACAACATCATGACCAACTTATAGACAGATCAGATACTCTGCCAAACTTCACAAGGCTTTTAAGATGGCAGCCAACCTTACACTAAAGGGTGGATTCGGGATTTCTAACTATTGAGACAGATGTGAAGTCTCACCATCAAGTTTAGACACCAAGAGCAGGGATTGAACTCTGGCCATCTGGCTGCAGAGCACATCTGCTTGACCGCTGTGCCATCTTGCTTTCCTGGAGGGCTCTTTCTCTTCTGCTGTGGGAATACCAAGGAAGCAAGGATAGGACTATCCTTAGCAGGGCTGCTGCCTCTGAACTGTGTTGAAGAGACCTTTTTTAGATGCTTCCCCCCACCCCCC